TCTGGAATTGTTAGAAGAAAAAATTTTATTCCATCAAGACTTGCAGAAAAGTTATGATTTTATAACAGCATTCGGATTTTTGAAAATTTTCATGAAATAATTAAACGATAGTAGAGATCGTAAACTGTTTATACGAAAAATCTCCAAGGGCAATGACAAACTTCAGACAGAAACAGCAAAGAAAACGGATATTGACGCTTCTTTGTCCATCGTTCTGAAGAATTCGAGAGGAACTCTCGCCAAGTCAGCTGGAATGAGCGCTCGATGTCTCAGGGATCCTATTAAACAAAAGGAAGAGGTCGTAATCGCGAGAGTGGCCAATCTCAGCTGCAGTGAAATAATAAGGAAAGACTCGTGGACGGTTAGCGCATCGGCAGAAATTGGTAGAAGAGTTGTTTTAGGAGGGGAACCCCTGGAAAAATTGAAAAGTCTCCAAAGTACGTCTCAGCCCTCACCTTTTTTTTTCGTGGGCCCCCTCTCCTCTTTTTTATTTTACCCACCGTCTGACGAAAAATTCTGAAGACGTTGGCACAATGAAAAGAGAGAAGCGGCGACGTCTGATCGTGCACCACGCCTCGAGTGAAATGGGCCGAGGCTTTTACTTTGCATTAATTTCCGGATTGCCGTCTAGCATGGTGGAACATCGTCGAGGGTATTGTGGGTGATACCGGGGTGGGGTAAAAAGAGGACGAGTTGGATTACACAGATACCCTGTGCGGCTCTTTGACAAGAACAATGCTTGCAGACTTCCGTTGTACGCGTTTCATGCGACACGCGGGAATACCCAGCCGTTAAAAAATTTCCCTTCTATTCGTTTTTCTTCTCACTCTTTTCTAGTCTCTACCATATACAATCATTGTTTTTCATTTTTTTTTTCAGACGTGTCAAAATGAGAACACGCTAAACTGACAATACACCAAGTTTTTTTTTTTCGACTCCACGGCGTGTCGCATAATGAGACAAAGGTAACGAAAGCCTCATTCGAGCGGTGAGCGATGTCTCTTGATACTCGACACTCGACCTGCGGAGTATCACCCCCTTTATTCAAATATTCCTCCGAATTTTTAGGAATACTCTTTTTTCGGGAAAAAATCTGGTGAACGCTGGGTGAAAGAGTCCTCTTAATGAGTCTCAAAATAAATTAAGCAAAAAGTGTTGTAGTGAGTGCAAGTGAAAGAGAAAAAAAAGAATTCTTTAAGACAAAAGGAACGGAAGTGAAGTGTCTCAAGAGGATGGGGTATACGACCACGTGGAGGTCTCGTCAGGGCGTCGAGAAGGTCGGCTTGGACAAGCAGAGATTAAGGTGACTGCTCTCAAAGTCTATCCCTTTCCAACTTGCCAGCCCTCAGTCCAACGAAAATCCTGTGGAGTCGGCTGAAAGGGGTAAAGTACCGCGACATACCTCTCGTGTCTCGGTCTGATGCACATTAATCCTTACCCTTTGCCCCCATGCGACGTCGACCTTTTCCCCCTTTGGTCGTTTCATTTCTCTCGCAAAACTCCTCTGTCTCTCTTTCTTGTTCCGGTGGGCCTGTACTAGACGTGTTTCAACTTCCAAAAATCTCGCGCTTTTTAAAAAGTGAGATAGACCACGGGAAGAAGTCTGTACCCAGACACACCGGGAAAATAGGGTTTCACTGAGAGACAGCCATTACTCTGATGGCTCGCATTAGTTTTCCACCCCCTGTGTGTCAAGTTCTTTTATAATGTGCATCATGAAACACCGGTATGTAGCTCGCGAATTAACGATGTGTTTAATTGTCTCGCTGGCGGCGACATAAAAAATTCATGGAAACAATGATAAACACGGGGAAAATAGAGTTACATGCTTGAGATGAAAATTAGAATGATGCATGGTGGTAAATTATCTTGATGAAAGAGTCATAACGGATTATTTTTCTATTTGTTTTCCACGGGAATAATTTTCTCGCGATATTTAATTCTTCTTCCAATTCTTGATCTAACAGTAATTGGATTTCCATCCAAATTCTACTTGGCCAATTACATTTTTTTCTTTTTTGCCGTGTCCCTATTGTATTGTACGTAGTCACTAATGATTCGGATAAGATCGGTGCAACGTACCCTGGAGAGGACCACCCGAAAATAATTTCCTCGTCCTTATAAACCCACCCACCGTCTGACCAATTATCGCGAGACACCCACTTCTTCGCGCCTTGAGAGGTGCCTTGCACACCCTGTCTATAGAGATCCCAAGGAGTCTGTGTAAAGTGGATCTAAAAAAACGGCCTCAAGTTTTTCCATTTTTATTTTAACCCCTCCCCCCACTTTTTTTCTTGTACCACTGCTTTTCAAGCCGCCCCTTTTTCATCCACCCATCGACATTCTACCCGGGCTCTTTATTCATTTTTCTTTTCACTAGTATGATTATTATTTTTTTAATAATGAGGAGCTCAACAGCCTGACATTGGTTCAATGGTCCCTCTAGAAGATTTTAAAAAATTGTATATGTTTTTTTTGCTTTCTTCACGGTTTTGTAGGCATTCGGGGGGTAATTAGGCAATGCGTATGGAGCAAGTGGATATTGAAGGGGAAAATAATATTTCAATAACCATATGATTCGGAAAAGTCGTGATTTGTCGATTTTTCAATTTTATCCGTGTCCCACCCCTTGGAAAAGCTATTCCACGGATCAATGAGAATCTAGGTCCGGTAGAGAGGAATGAGATGGTGTTGCTACTTTTGCGATATGATTTGAAAAAGTGGAAAATGAAGGGAGAAAATAATTCACAACAAAGTTGCTCACTGCCAGGTGAATTGTATCGGTAGAGTAGCTCTAGAGTTTTTGGGGTTGAAGATAGAATAAAACATGGAAATTTATCAACGGAGATATCCATTTCACTCGCATTTACCGCGATGAATAATTTTTCAAAGGCCACAAGAACGCTTGAAGTAATGAAAAATTGAAAATGAAAATGAAATTATTAGTCGGGGTTAAAAATTCTCATCTTCATCAGGATAACTTCATTAACGTTGAGACGGTTGGGTCGAACCAAAAGTTCTTCAACCTTTAACAGAATTATTTTCTTCATTTCTCGGTGGTTAATGGGCGATGAGTTTCTTACGATTATATCCCCCATAAAGAAATATTTCAAGACTGAGAATAATTTCCTCATTCTCCTTTTAATTCTAAAACGAAAATTAACGACTCATTTGTCAAGATGTTAAATTTTTTCATTGAAAATTTAATTTACCAGATTAAATGATGAAAGTATGAAATTCCTGTGTATCAATATGACTTCTTAATCTTTTCAAATAAAAATTCGTCAATCAGTGAATACAGAATAAAACGAGGTGGTTATGTTCACTTTGCAATAGGGAATGAAGTTGAATGGAATATCCTGAAAACTCCAAAGGCATATTAAATCGAAAGATTGGAATTCTAATTAATAGCCAGTGGGATCGTACGATAAGATGAGGAGTATCTCGGTAAGACCTCGTTCTGTTCAGTTTTATCCTAGCGTTCTAACATTCACCGATGCCTCCCTTAATGTCTCACTCAAACCACTCGGGAATTTCATACTGAAAGATTATCGTAATGAAGATCTCTCACGGGCGTTATACTATCCTTTACATACTTCCACCGGCTATCACATCCTCCGGGTAGAAAAGAGGGTGGTAATATTCCTTTTTGATTCATTTTCCTATTAGACGAGCTAGCAGAGACGGTAGAAGATTGAATCAGACAATGCGCCACTTGATGACGAAAAAACTTTGATTGAATACTCATATTTTTTGTGACTTCATTGAACGTGATTTGACTGATAGTACCGATAACTGAAATCACTACCTCGTTCTTCCAGTGAAAATAATTCCGGGACTCGAGTGAAATTTTTTTCGGTTATCCCTTCAAGCCATTGAATTCATTTATTCCTACCGAACGTACACCGGGGATAAACAATTGTCGAGAACCCCTAACATTAGCGAATATATTCTAAATACTAGCCAACTCTTGTCCGAATGCATTTAGAATACACGAAAATGGCAAGTGCTTAAAGTGTAAATACGAACATGTAGCTCATACAAAGTCCCAGAACCCATAAAAGAGGAGAGCGTCTAGTCCACCTCATCCCATTCTCACTCAACTCCACGTACCGTTTCCCCTTTTTTTTTTCTCGAGGTCCTGCTGTTGAGTTTGGGACTTGCACAAGTGCGCGAGTGAAAATCCTGAAATATTAATGTAACACTTCCACCAACAAAGTCCTCCATAAAACCTTTATTCCATATTCACTGCGACGTAGTCCGAGTTTTACGTTACCTTTTTATTCTTTATCTCCGGTAAAGGAGAGACATTCGAATAAATGATATACATAAGCATGTGCAAATGGTCGAGAATTGTCAAGATGACTCCCAACGTCTTATTCCATCACTGGACCATTCTGTTTTCATTCTCCATCTATTCATTATTTATTTGTGTTTTTAGTCTGAGAGGAGCATTCTAGATGTACTCTAATACTTGGAAAACAAGGGGGGAAGGGGGGGGGGTGGAGTTGAGGAATTGAAAAGGTAGAGAGTTTTCTTTTATGTAAAAATGAGCGACTGGGAGGTGGATTGTAAGGTACATTTTTGTGACTTTTCATTTCCTTTCTGCTATCACTTTTTCAACTACTATCCTCCAAGACATCTCCAGAGAGACATAAGAATCCAGTATAACAGACGAAATTTCCATAAAATATTCCATTATTACTGTAATGATTTTCAAATTAAGAAGGACGAAACAGCGAGTGCAATTTGATGAATACTCGATACCATCATTATTGGATGATTCAATTGAATTGAGAGTAGAGTACGCGAATAAATTGACGTCGATCAATACCGAAGTATGAGACGAGGCAATATAAAGCAATATGAGACCGTCATTATGTCTGAACATTGTTCAATCACTGAATTATCCTGTGCATCATCAATATGAATTGCATAATATATCGTCAATGGAGACGTGCAGACTTACTCAACCTCGTTTTATTTATTTCTCTTTTCAGGAGGGTGAACAGGGATACTTGGAGGGACTAGCGTCAAGGTACGCAGACCTCTTCAGAACGCATTACGGTGATGTCCTGGAACCCCTCGAGGAGCTCCGACGCCGTGAAACAAATGCCTCACCAAGAATACCTAACACTCAGCTCACAACCAGTCATTCGCAACCCATTTACGTGCCCGGAAAATACTCGGTAAGCAACATTTCTGTCTCAACTTTTCAATGCCATGGGCAACGCGAGCAAACGGTAGAGCAGAATGAAAGGGAGAAAGTAACGATACCTTTCAGACAACTTCTGTCTGTCCCACAGGGACATTTCTTTGACTCTGAAAGAGTCTTACCCATCGCTATCAAAGAGTACACCAACTGAAATAGTTTTGGGGAGTTATTTTTAACATTTCCACATCATCGTAAAATCCTATTTTCAAATCTTTTGGAAATCTGACTTTCATTGGGATCAATTTGAAATCATAAGTCTTGGAACAAATGTAATTTGGAAATATTTTTCTCTTCTGGGAATCATAATCACGTATTCGAAACAATAATTTTGTGTTTCAGCCTTCAAGCTGCTTGAGTGACAAGGAAGAGGATGAGATATATGGCTTCGGATACGGTGTCTTCGGCCGGCAGATGCTGCAGCAGAGACAGCAGAAACTCGCCCTTGCCACTCAAAATCCCGCCATCGGTCTTACCGGACACCATCAAACATACCAAAGGTAAATACACAAGTTCGTCTAGAGTTCTATTCCACCTTCACCAGTCCCCACAGCACAATCTGCGAAATGTCTCTCCAAATATCAGAATATTCTCGAATTAATGAAGTCAGAATACCGTGTCCCTCGCACTGAATACTCATTACATTATTTGAGGAGAAAATTGGATACCATTTGCAGTAGCCATGTTGCTTAACTAATAACGGTAATACTGGAGTGTCGAGTTGGTCAAAGAGTTCTGCATTTGCAAAGAGAGGAGAAGGCGTCGGTTTATTATACATAATTACCCATTGCCACTGTTACGATCTCGAAACACCATCTGCAGTGAAGGCTATCAGCTACTTGATACTTAACGGTTAATTAGAGCCGCAATTTCAAAAACACTCTGAAGAAACTCGATAAAATCACCCGAATCTTGCAACATCGGCCTAAAGACATAATTCCAAACATTCATTATCACTGAACTCTCAAGTTTACCTCATTATCTCACAACCCAAATGCCAATGGGATCTGCATCTCATCTGACATCTGCATAATTTGTCAATGCGCGAATCCGTCCTCCACTGCACATCCCTAGATCTCCCAGTGCACACAGTTGTACTTGTCAGAAATTTACAGCTTAGTCTACGAAGATATTTCAACTGAGACACGTACATGAAACTCGAGCTAGTTTCACCACTACACACTGGATACATTGGTAGATAGATTTGGCGTATTCAACCGATAACAGAGATTTGAGCTGAGTAGGTAAAAGACAAATCTTGATGTCGTCGTTCTGGTTCATTGACGTAGAAACCATATCGTATGTTATGTACGTTGTGAAACGATCACCAGAACAGAATTAATTGCACAGAGAGAAGCCCTATTGTTCTCGGTTGATTCGGTAAATGGTGGGATTTCGTAACAGCTGAGAACAGTGGACTACGGGATTTTGATTAAACTCCGGGAGAGGATCATTCTGTATGCCCTGTGCTATCGCAAATCGAGAAGCGAATGATGTCAAAGCTTTGGATTGTACTGACGGCCAATTGTCAACGATGCGATGTCATCGATCCTATTCATCAATGCATTCGTAGTCATGGATTGTGGACCGAGGACAAGATACGAATGAGATGGGCGAACCGTCAGTTCTTTGGGACGAAAAGAACCATTTGTTGAATTCAACCCGTCGAAACATCACCGGTGATCCTCGAATTGATCATGAAACCACTTGAACATGCAGCACTCGAGGCAATCGTCTCTAATCGCAATGAAGTGAGTGCGCTGTACTCAAGCGTTGAACCATTGAGATGTTAGCTTTTCCTCAAAGGGTTCCATTAGTATGCGGTTAGTCGTAGACCACTGTATTGGAATTGTGCAAAGCCTTCGGTACCTATTAGAAATTCTCAACCGCTGGATTCTCACGCTCCGGTGCTCGTTGTTATCCAGGAAGTGTACGTTATTCCGGGGAATATCTTGATGGGTTTCACCGGGAATTGAGACGGACCAAGGTAGTCCTTCTCAAAAAGCCAGTGTGGAGTGACAAAGCTGTCAGTTCAGGATTATTCACTCGTGATAGAGGAAAAGCCTGCCCAAGCCGTTACTCAATCAATCTCCAAGTAGACACATTGATAATTTTCACCCTGCTTTGATAACTCAACGCTAAGTGGAACATCCATCATCATCGATAACAACGGTGCAGTAAGCAGGCTGTTATCATCGTCAGCCAACCGAATCAGTAATGGTTGTGTTAAACGCAAATGGCTACCAAGTTCCCATGCAGTTCATTCCATCAACCAGAATTACTTCATCGACTATGTATAAGTACATAACGTTTACGATATCGTTCCACCTATTCTACCCTAGCTAAAGCTGAAAATTGAGTGCTCCAATAACGAGGCGTCGATACTCAAATTTTCCACTATCAATGCACCAGGTCGTTCGTTAAATCTAAACGCACGGGGAAAATACTTTTTAATTCAATTTAACCATCGAAAAATTTACCCATATTCTTTTACCCTCATCCATTGACAATTTAAATTTCTATTTTGCATATTTTGTCTAATAGCTTCTCATATAGTTTTCCATTATGTTGCAGTTGCCTGAGCCCGAGATCAGCGTTCTTCTACGAGTTTCCTCCTAACGGTGAGTTTTATACCCAAATTTCATACGGATGCTAGATCTTTAGGGTCCCATATTTGTCACGCAATTTGAATTTTCGTCGGTTGAATTGTACTTCTTGTTCAAATGGGAGACACTGAATCTTCTACTCTTCCTCAATTTCCGTTAATGTACGCAAACTTGGCTACCCCTTCTCATTTCAAATACACGAATAGCGATCGTTCAACTCCGCAAAACTGAAATTTACCTCAGGTAGAATTTCGTGTTTTATGCCTGCTTCATTTCGCCTCGTACGAAGTTCGGTTAAAATAAAATAGAGTCGCGGTGAGGCAATAGGACATATTCCTTTTATTTAATAGGTTCATCTCATAAATTCCCAGAGACTTGACAGTTGCGATATACCCCGCGGAACCCTATAAATTGGTCGAGATGAAAACTCACGGGTTGAGGGAGAAAAAAATATTTGCAAAATACTTTACGACTCGTCAGTGCGAAAAAGTTGTGTTTGTGGCGGAACGCGCAATATCTCGTACATATTTTTTTCTTTCAAAGTGAAAATACTGACGGGGAAAAAAAAAGAAAATTGTGTGGTGTGTCGTGAAAAATTGCAATAGTCCCAAGAACATACGAAAAAAAATTCCCTTGATCGTTCATATCGACAGACACGAGAGGCCGCCCGATAGATATAAAGGGATCAGTACAAGCGAGAAAGGCCGCGTTGATATTTCATTCCTGCCGAATCCTTCCGTTCTCTATCCCCTTAAACCTTGAGGCTATGACCTAAACCCCCATCCTTCCCTCAACTGTGCCTTTATGAATACGCAATTGAGATCGCAACTCCCAGTCGGGAAATAGAGAGGGAGAGACCGTCAGGGATAGTCAGGCGATGGGGCTTTTTGACGCACTTCCTCTCTGGAAAACATATCCTGGAGCATTTCAATTCGTTCCCTCCACCTTTCTCCCCGGCACTTCGGGGCTTTCTATAAAAATCTCATTGCACTTTTAGTAGATTCCGTGCATCTTGAATATCTCAGCAATATCCAATCGATGGTATTAGCGAGTTCTCGTGGAAAAGCATCTACATATTCATTGGGAATGACAAGTTATCAAAGTTATAATCCGGTAAGACAGCTTTTATCCAATCAAGAATCTACAATGCATCATGATGATTCGACGATTGAATCGCGTCACTAATCAGTTTAAGGGCACAGCACCTTAGTATATATCCAGTAATTCAATGTAAGAGGTACCCCTGATTCCCATTGCAGCACTTAGCACTTGTTACCAACACCAACACTCATGCTCACTCAACCAAATATATCCGTGAGTGCATACATCATCTACAATGGGAATCAGCTCTCAGTCTATGCACTAACCGTGCCATTCCACATCTCCTCGACTGTACTGTCTCTGTGCACTCTGGGTACACTCCCACCAGTTTCTCTTCTCGCCCTTCCTTGTTCACTTGGTCTCCTTCAACCGGTGTTGTCTCACCCTGGAATCAAACTGGTAGAGATGCTGGTAGAATGCATTTATCCTCACGGTATCCACACCCTGTACACTCGATGTGCTTATACCTGGATCTGCTACTGCACCAATTGCTGCTGAATTACAGCAACCACCTACTCGAGCTCATTGTATTTGTGCACCGCGTGGTTACACATCTTCAACAACGGTGGGAGTTACGTCTATACAACAATGCCCGAGGTCTGCATTCCATTCACAAACCGTGTACGACATGGTTACCGTATACTTTGCCATACCAATGTACCCACTTTATTCGGTGCATCCATATATTCATGAAGAATCGTGTGAATCTTGTCACATGGCTGAGCTTCTTCCAATCACATCACTTGAAATTCCCATCTATTATTGAAATTTATTTATCACTCACGTGAGATCCTCTACCTCTTTGACTCTCAATCTTATCAATTTTCAAGTTACACTTCAAGTTACACTTCATGCATCTGGTATCAAGTGGATTAGATCTTCTCCACTTGTCTCGTTTTATTTTTCCACTCATTCCTCTATTCTTCACTCGACAAGTTCCACTTGCCAAACGGCTATTTCGATAACAAAGTTTTTAGTTGGCAGAGTCGACAGCTCCATTCTCTTCATTCGTTTTTCGATATGATAGAACAGATCTAGCTGGTGGCAATTGTAGGAGCACTCCAATTTTTTGGGGGATGGATCGCTTGGGTAATGCATTGGAGTTTTTTATTAGACGAACGGTTGATGTCAGATTGTTATTTGTTATTGTTATTTGTCTATGGGTGTGGTAGGTCATTGAACTGATAATGTTGGTATGCCGTTGAACAGTATCAGTCGCATCAACTGGACAATCTCGTGTTTAGTAGGCGGATTAAACAATACCCCCCATGCAAATGGTGCTCGTTTAATTGCAACCTATTTAGCATATTCTCTGTCCTCCAGTGAGGATATCACTACTGATCGATCAACAGACACCATTCCTCTGTCACGCTCTTGCGTTTGGTGTAAGGTTTTTTGTCATTTTTATTTTGCCGGGGGTATCGTCTCTGGGATCATCGGGTGGAACGATAAGTCGAGTGGAAATTTAAAGCGCATTATTTCGGGTTGTGATTAATTCTTCGGAGATTCAAATTGTTTGTTACCCGGATTCCCTGAATTTTTTTCTGAATTCAATCCCTCAATTCATGGACTGATTCTACTTGACTTCGGCTCAAGTTGAATCACGTCATTGGGACATTCAATTCAAATGTCAGTCCTCGAGGTCATGTCTGAGTTGCAAATTGACTTGAATCGAGTTAAATTCAACTTGAATCAAGTCAAAAAAGATTCCCCCAAGTCGAATTTTATTCCTACCGTCTGACAATAAACAAATCGATCCCCTCGACGATTTCCTCCGACTCTTGAACTTTATTCACGATGACTTCTCCGGGTATAATCCCATCAACATTCCCTCTAACCGAAGCATCTCTTAGTCTCCCTCTGCGCATTGTCCATCATCTTGTTCTTCTTAGACGCTCAGTTGCACTCGAGGGGAGACACAAAGTGTCTATCATTCGCGCCTACCCCGTTACCCAAGTGGTACACAGAAATGCACACGTGTAAACGGTGAACCTTTTGGCTCAGGCGGAATGTACCTCGACTGAAAAAGGTTGACGGTAGATGGTGAAAAGTGTGTGACCGTAACACAAAAACGTTGGATAGGTGAGTGAGGAGAGAAAAAAAATTGAAACAACGAGAGTACGAGAGGGTGCTATCGCTCTTGGCAGGTTGTCATGGTAACGTGCATGCATGCACCTCCGCTGTTGCAGAGGCGTGACAAATAGGGAAGAATAGACAATGATGAAACTTCATCCCCTTTCTCTGATGTGTCGAGGTACTCTTGACGAGAGACATTCAGCCCGGAAGTGGGTCCGACCGTGCATGACACCGCGACGGCTTTTCCACACCTTTACATGACCCACGACACGTTTTTAAACAGCTTTATAGCTTTTGGCGAACAAACCCGGGACCTGTGTAAACTAACGACTTCTTCCTCTCCATTGTTTCGGAGAGATAAATGTTTTTTACATCTTTATGGAGATTTTGGCATTAGAGTTCTTTGTCGAGTGGATTATTACTCAACGTGGATTAAAAACTCATGAGATGTATTACATTGTGGATAATTTCCGAGGAAATGACCCGGTATTAAAATCTGTCGCTTGTTTGTGGGGGAAAAAAAAACCACTGGCAGAACTTTGAACCGTTGACGGTGAAGAAAGGAGAGAAATTTCAAAAGCACATTACAACTTCTTGAAGAAGGTTACCATAGAGGTTGGTGAAAGATCCTCAGGCGATCACCGTGTTTAATAACTTTTTAAGGGGAATATCGTGCTTTCATTTGCCCGCCTTCATGAAAAATGGCCCGCTCTTGGTGTAAAGACTGGTGGAAAATTCTGAAGAGGAATTTTACCCGGTGGTCAAGAGTAAATTACTTTCGAGGCATTGAATGTATCGCTTAATCTTCGTAACGACCAAAAAATTGGAAGTCTCAACTTGAAGAATTAAAAGTGAAGATATGTTACGCAATGTCACAACCACGAAATTCCCGAATGCAATAACTCAATTTGAATTAACTCTTTTTTCCACTCTAATGCAAGAGGAGAGTGGAAAACATAGATCGTAATTCTGAGAGCAACACAAGACGAGAGAAAAAAGACTTTCTTCCACTCGTAGGTGCATTTTAGGTGGAAAAAGGAGGGAAATAATGAAAAAAGAGGTAGTCAGGGCTCGAGTACCTGGAATTGGATAATTTTTCGCATTTTCTGTCGCAATGGTGTATATAAACGTGGTTGAGGCAAGAAAAAGCTGTCGCGGCAAACAGGCCGGAGGATGAGAAAGGAAAAACGTTAAAAGGTTGAAAAAAAAACACATCACAAGAGGAGGTGTATCGAAGCGAGAGTAAAAACATCGGACCGATACACGTACAGACACACACCAACGGAGTTTTCAAATTGATGGGGGTGGGAAAATATCGTAGATGGTGTTGCCAGGTTATGTAACAAAGTTTGGCGTCGTATATGCTTTGATGGTGGTGCATTGCTGCTTTTATCCGTTCATGCATATCACTTATTCTTTTTGATATCGTTGAAATTCTTATCGAGGGTTTTAGGGAAATGCGTTTTTTTTTCTCCTCAATGAAACGCGTTGGCCGAAAGTATAAAACCGAGAGTATTTCAATTTTCATGACTACTCCGATAATTATTGAAACTTCTGATATTCATTTTGCTTCAGAACTTTTTCAATAATTTCGATTGAATTTTCTCATCTGGGAGAATATTTCCATTCCATTCTGTTTTCAACCTGAGATTTCACTTATTTTTCATTTCTAATTTCGTCTGCGCTCTCTTCCGCTCAATAAATCATGCATTACCCTCGGAAATCAGATTTCGTCGAAAAATCGTACATCTTAATTTCAAACTTTTCTCATTTTCCGCGAATCCTCATACCTAAAACAATTTCGTTCACTGTATTTTTCCCTCTCCGGTGATGCGAAATACCCTTGAATTCGTTGTCTGGCATTTCGCCGTGCCATATATTCTTACTGATACCGAGGCCTCTGCGCAATCGACGGACTGCAAAAGCAAGTTTATTTTTATTCCATACGATTCATTCGATTGAACATGACTTGTGGTTACAGCCAACCAATATATTTTCGATATTACGGGAACGAAAATTCCAAACGTCCCTGGGGAGTACTCTGTATTCTTTCCCCTGCGCTCGTTCACTTTCATTTTTTTAGTCGCCACTTTCCAATCTTTTTTTTTTTTCACATTTTTTATTTTCCATCCGTCGCGCCAATGCGGTATGCACTCTGCCATCAAAATTTTACTGCGCCAAAATAGTGGGAAAAAAAAGAGGTGCGAGGCTCGAGAAAAATCGTGTTATTATTTCAATCCGTCTCCATAAACTCAAAAATGAATTACACTCTGAAAATGATCTATCTCCACATTTGTTCGTTATCTTTCGTCTATTAATCCGTTGTCAATGTCATTCCCGCGAGTTTTCTGAAATAACTAAAAATTGGTTTAACGACTCAATATCAAAAATTCATCCACGCAGTCGAATAATTAAATTCTCCAATTTATCCAAGTGTGCGTGTTTGCATACAAAGATCGCGTGCCTCCTCCGAAGAACGGCCTTAACGACCCGATAACTCGTCACGTCAACAACGGGACGGGCCCCGTTCTGTTACACCATTCCCCTATATTTTCTTCTCCATCCCTTTTTTTTTATATCGTACGCATAAACCCATCTGACGAGCTCCCAACAACTCGTTTCAATGCGATATCTCTTATAAACTCAGATAACATCAGAATTTCATCTGTGAGTGCATGCGCTTGTGGCACGAGTGTCAGTTTTTCTCTTGTTACCTATACGAGACGGGAAAAAAAAATGACAGCCCCGTATTTTGTGCATACAAAGGTAATAATCCGTATGAACATTAAACACTAATGTTAAAGTCAGATGTGTACTGATATCGGTGTTGTTTAGTGGCTGTAGACTACGTGGCTTTTTCATCAACCACGCGATGAATTAATCTGTTTATGGTTTGTCGTAAAAAAGGCCTCCGGGTAACGAGGAAAAACGAGCTGAAAATAGTAAACAGATATAACCCCTCCGAGTTTTATATCACGGAATAATTTATATTAGTGCGCTGACTAGTCGATACTCCTGGGATATGAAATTAATCTCGCTGAAGCCATTCCACAGGCCATCCAATCTTTGGATATTACTCGAATCAATTCCAACCTTGCTCGTGTTAAAATATAATCCATCCCCGACGAATAAATAAATTTGACTCCCATGCTTTTTTTTTTCTTTTTGCTAACTCGTGGAGTTTCACAGTGAATGAAAAAAAATATGCAACCCGAAGAGCAAATGATATCGCATGTGGGTGATAATGTCATCGTAGGACCTAATTGCGTAACGTGTGGATATGTTAATTCATCCCCAAGCTGTATATAGTCAGCTGTGAACGTGATCTGCACTCGTGCGTTGTATTCCCACTTTGCCCTTCTCTCTTGCCCCGTTGTGTACGAAGCCCTCGGTAATTAGGGTACAGCGTTATTGTCGCTGGTAATAAACGGATGCATGAAACGGTAATACAATATAGTGACGGGTCAGTCCACAGAGTAGACTAACGGTGAACTACTATTATTCGTTAATGGATAGTGATGTCGTGGTTAGCCCCGAATTCATTCGATTATTTATGTGATATTGACATTCGACGTAACGAATTCACGGTAACATTTGGATCTTGCGGTTCAACGGTGCAGGTTTTAATTTTGATGGATACTTGTTATCGGGACAAACAGAGAGGATTCAAAAAATATCCAGAACTCACTCAATGATTTAATTATTCTTCATTGACAAAACACCAGATATTGAATAAGGAATAATTGCGCTAATATCCGAACAACTGGGACTCCTCAAGGCATCGTCCATTCAGACAGATCATGTCGGGTCCACAGGTCGTGCCATCAGCCGCACCACCTAATATCTGCCTGCAGAATCTCGAATCACCAATTATCTCGCAACCCAATCTACTACAGATTCTGCCATCTATGTTGCAGGCTTTGGTCCCAGTGAATTTCAAACACTGCTGATCAGCATCCATGAACTTCCCTGGCAAGTACCTTGGCAAGACGCTCCTCTGAATTGGATTGTTGTACAGGCAAGCAGGGTTTCGACTGTTGAAAGAAAAATGTAATCAGACTGCATCCTAATATCAAGAAGATCGATAATGGGATTTTTACTTCAGGAATCTCTGGAAATCTTTCAAGGTGCATTTTGACCAGTTTGGGGATCCGTTCAACGGAATGGTTGGATTCATAATGTGTCCATCCTTTTCAGGACAATCGGGATAATCTTCTCCATCATGATTGGCACCTAGCCTGAATGGAAATTAATGAACACAGATATAAAAACATGAAGTTATGAGTTATACTTCAGGAGCTCTCAGATTTCTAACTTACATGTGTCCAAGTTCGTGTGCAGCCGCGTAGATACCATCGAATCCTCCGCTGTCTCTGAGTATTGACACTTTGCTGGTCTCCACTTGATACATTTTCCGCATACCGCAAGCTCCTTCTGTCCACGAGATACCTGTGATGACAACAAATCAAACAAAAGCAATTCAAAGATTTTTATGGACTTCGTTGTCCAAATTCTTTAAACTTACCGCCAATTCCACAATCGCGATCGTTGCTGGTTGGGTAATGCCGACACAATTGCCGTCTACACAAGGAATTAATTCCAATAGTGAGATACTTGATGACTTATTTGCACGGTTGATGAATATAGCAATGAATTTGTTTCTTACGAGGTCATAGTGACGAGGATATCATAGCTTTCGAGCGGGATACTGTGATTTTGCTGAGGCCAGTAATCAGAACTTGCGTACAGCGCGTCATAGACGGCTAGAGAAGAGTTTTCTTTTGATTCATGTTGTTCTATGTAAGTGAGGGCTTCTGGATTCTAGATTAATTGAATGCCGAATTTCATTTCGGAGGATATAAGAAACGGGAGATCATTATTTGAGATTTGGAGAGAACTAACCTTGGTGATAACAATCCCTGCTATGTTGAGTCTGTACGTAGGATTCTTCAAACTTCTGTACTTCAAGTCAACGCCGTTCCAAAAGGCTACCACATAAGCAACAGTATCCATAACTTTATCACCTATTTTTTTGAAGAGATCATGACTGACAACGACCAAGATCTCAGGATACACCGTATCAGGAATTGGAGGAGGGGCTGCAGAAGGTGCAGCAGTAGCATTCGTTGGTGCTGAAATGAATTGGACAAACAGTCTGATCTCTTGATGCACATTGACGAAGTCATTTGGATCGTACGGAGATCACAAAACGCACCTGCTCCTAGATACTCAGTCCTCCCTACAGATGCTGATCTTTTGTAAACGATATGATAATGATAATCGTCTTGATCGGATTGGGAGATGTTATCGATTGATCTGCGCTGTCTCTTGATTTCGTTGATAAGCCGCTCAGGAAGTGGTGCGATGACCAAATTATTCGATCCGACGGTGCCCACCTAATCCACAAAGAGTACGATAGTTTAAACTTCTCAATTTGATACCAGACGCTTCAAAATAATCGATTTGGGTACATGATTGTTGATTGAGAACTTACGATTCTTCGATGGTTCTGGCTTGGTTCGCTGACAACGACGACCGCGGCTTTCTTCAGATCTTCATAGGATTCCAAGCCCCGCATTAGCTAGAAGAATATGATTCGGTCAAATCGTCAGATTGTGACTCATTCGAAACAGCAATGAATCTTTTCAATTCAAAACCGCGTTATTCATAATGAAAAGAGAAATATTTACATGCGGATATTTATTAAAGTGCAAAGTGGACTTTCTCTTTAGTAGTGTATAGACAGGAGTGTCGAATCCCACGAGCATTCCGTCCGTTGGCGAAAGCCACAAGTCGATGTCTTCTCCAAATGCCTTGACGTGAATTCCAATACCAATTTCTGCGTTCCTCTTCTGAACCCTCGGCCAATGGATGGGAACAACTTCATACTTTTGAACTGTCGATTACAAAAAAAAATCCATTACCCCCAGAAAATGTCTTCTCTGAGTTCTCACTTGATCCATCAGTTTCTGATCTGTTACTTTTATCCAAATATCATTACCATTTTCTTCTGAGGTTTGAAACGCGTGCAGTCTTTCATCCCGAGTCATTCGCTTGTGAATCTGCAATCGTCAGATTTTTGGAACATTCAAATTATTCTAGTAATTATCTTTTTCCAACTCACCCCATAGGTCACATCTATCATTCCAAGACACAAAAGAATTACTTCACAAATTCTCAACATTATTTCTACTTATGATACTTTAATTGATTACGTCTTTCCCTGGAGTTGCCTTAAAATTGCGTCAGAAATAAGTTGTCCTGTCTTTATAAGTTCAGATGGTTTCGTAAGTTATCTCTGATTTTTCATGAAACACTTGTATTAACAACTGTAATACTGTCTAGTGATTACAGCATCGAGAACAAAAATGAAAAAAAAAACAGTTTATCCCGGATACGAAAATCAATGTGAGCGGGGCGTTTTAATTTTTGGAATTCGCGCATTCGTTGATCTTCAACGGAATTTCAACATGCAAGAATTCGAGTGGAATGAAGCGAACTGCCACTTGTACTCACAAACGATAAAATAACGCAATTTAAAAAAAAAACTGAATTAATGGACATTTTCTCATTCAAGTCTAATTGCTGCCATGACTCCCTCGTCCATAATTCATCACTTCCAATCTTCTTATCTCTGAGAGAGTAAAAAAATCCAAACTTCTCAATTTATTTAACCGAGATATCCCAGACATTTCTTTCCATTCTGGCCGGCACTAATGCTCTTTTAAAATAAACCGACTTCTCATTACTCAGTGAGTATAACAGGAGCAATATTTAATTAACGAAATTTCCATTTTGTATTATTTCAGAGCAAGGGCAGAATACGAGTAAAAAGAAAACTACGTTTTCACGACTGTTGAGAGGATTGAAGACTCATAGGAAGGAGAAACAGGGCCAGACGCAGGGATCACCAAGGCATGGACGTGCGAGGATGGGAGTTCCCCAGAGGGTGAGTGAATTCATTTTTTATTTGTATTTTCACTTCGCCTGGAGTTCAGTCTCCTTGAGTTCCCAGGACCAGAACTGTATCGAAATCCTCAATTCTCAGAACAGAATCATTCGTCTCGAATTATTCATGAAAAAGAAGAAATCGCAAATTTCATTGAATTTTCAATGGAAACGTGAATATTTAGTCTTGAATTAATTTTTTTCCGTAAAATTAATCGGAAAAATAATTTCCGCCCGCGTCTCCTCCTGTGGAGGTCGAATTTTTAGTGAATTATTATTTGAGTCTAGTCATCCGGACTAGTTCATACAAATAGAGTTCTACGTGAATTGGAACAATCGTCCGACAATAGAGATCGTCAATAGTAACAGGCAGTATTTTATACAGTCGACAGAATACACTGAGTCTATAATCGATATTCGTGAAGTAATATCACATGTCGTCGATTTAAACGATTCTACCGCGTCTCCCTAATGTTGAATTTAACTGGCAACAGCTGCACGGCTATTGAATTATTTTCGTGTATTCAAATTCGTAATTAACGAGATCATTAATGAAAATCAATTCCGTCAGTCGCCTACAGGGATAACGGATGTATCGTGTATCCGGTAATTACGGTAATTACGGTAATTAGGGTAATTCCAACGTGGAAAAATGAAATATTTTAAAGAAATAGACTTCTCCGTTATAGAAACCCTTCAAATTTTCTATTCGAAAAATTTCAAGTTTACACCTGTAAATTCCCACGAAATGTATCAATTAATTGATGGATACAAAAATCAACAATAATCATTAATAGATATGAATTTCAAAAAAGGGAAATAAGAAAAGCAGAAATATTCTCATTATCAGGTGTTTATTCAATTCCACAAGTTCTCAAATACATCAGACAGAATAATTTCCATATTGCTTATTTCGAATTCAATTTTTTATGAATTTCCTTCATTCAATTCGAATCCTGGTTAAAAATTCGCCACTTGTTTTGAATTTTCTGACACGGAGATGGAGATCCATTTCTAATCATCTGATTAAGACCCGAAAAATACAGTTCACAATAAGTTTTTAAAACAATCACTGACTACATCACAGCACGAGAATTCTCTCTGAATTCGTATTCGATGTAGCTGTGCTGACAGATACCCTTGTGGTTCGACATTTCCTGGAATTTCGTAACATAGCCCACAGGCCACATATGATACCAGCAAATATGACCCTTTGGGGGTAGTGCACAATGTCAGGTCTCGCATATTCCATACGTCTATTGTGAGTCCAATACCGTTGGAACACACATCTCCATCGTAACATACTTGTCGTTTTGCCGTCAGGTATCACATTGAGGTTGAAAATAGTTCATATGGATCATCAAAGTGGTTGAAAAACCATCCCAACTCCGCGGATACGATCAAAGGTATATCTGTCATATGTCAAATAGCTGACACTTGGCTTTTTGACGCCTTTTGAAAATTCTCTCGATACCTATCATCGTTATTGATCAATTTCACTTGATCAATTATTTTTGTGTCTCGATATGTTTTACTCGTGCATGATGGAAAATTCGTTTGATAGGTGATGGAATGTACGGAGTATGATGCCTTTTCATTCGATCCATCATACCGAAATCCACTTTTGCTTGAAAACTCTTGCTCTCGTGCTGGGCATCGAGGCTCCTCTAACCACTAGCCGCTCAACGTAATTCATGGTACTACACTATATATTGGTATAATTCAATTCTAGTTGGTACCAAACCACCGTCTATCCCACAGCCCAACGTAAAGCTCTCTTCTACTCTATTCCCGCTGTGAGGTGGTACTTTCCACGGTGAAAATTCGATTTTCAACGTTCATTTTGGTTTTAACGCCCTGATGTTAGGGCACCGTGTGTATCTAGGTTTTATTTCGCCCTGGTGAATTTTCTTTTCCTTTCCGGCGATATACTTCAGACTGAAAGGCTGGATTAATAGGTTTCTCGATGGGTCTCGAAGAAATTCATTTCATTATGCGTTTTTTGCAATTGATATTCCAGTGAATTCATGTCTGTGATCAATCGTTAGGTGAAGACGTTCTCTGTGGAGGGAATTATTATTTTTAGCTTTAATCATTGAATATTGAAAATGATCCATTGAGTATTTGATAAATTCAACGATTTTCCATCAGTCAGTCAGTTCTTCATAATAATGAGCGCGAGAATTAAATCCAATAGAAATCCAATTGATGAAGTCGTGTAATTGGAGAAAAAGGCGAGAATTAATCTTTCACACTGAAAATCTCACGTCGAGGTTTAAAAAATCCATAAGATTTATGATTTCCGTAATAACCCCGAATTGCATTTTAGAATGATAAGAAATATTTTCCATTTGTGAATTTACATTTCGAGATTTGGAGGGTTAAAATACGTTGGATGAAAGAGAATATAAAAAAATGTAAACAAGTGAGAAAAGAAATGTATCTGGAGGTTAACAAGACGTAGTGCTCGCTTTATATGCTAATGTCGAGAAGCTCTAGGAGAAGGGATAGAGGTGGGTGGTGGGTGAAAAAGGGGGTCAGAAGAGGCGTGAAATACACTCGCTTTTAACCCCATGACTCTGCACAGGGGTGATGTCCCGTTTTATTTTCATTTCTACTGCCTCTCTTCGGAGAGAAGTAGAAATTGTGCGAAAGTATTTCTCCGGTGAACGTGTCTCTCGTTTGAATAAAAAAAATATTTTCCACCGTGAAAAAAAAAGCAAGGAAGAGGTACAACGGACGAGGGGGTGAACATAAAAATGGCAAGAGAGAGATTGGTAATAAAACCGGCAAGACAAAGTGTGGAATTGTGAGTTTTAGGGTGAAAAATCGTTTGGGGGTAGCAGCTCGATTTAAACTACCTATGGCACATTTTTTCTCTCACTTCTTCACGTTTATTTCTCCACGTACGAACCACCCGGGGGAGGTAAAAAGGCACAGCAAACTGTTTTACATACCGAAGTTGTATCGCGAAAAACTTATGGGGCAGTTAAGCGAATCTACGATAGCCAGATGGAGGGTGAGAGAGAAACTGCATAACCACTGCGCCACATTGCCTGACCGGTTTTTTTTCTTTCTCTTTACATTAAACGGTGCGATAAATATCTAAATCGACATTTTCACCCTTCGATACCCATTTTACTCCCTAGAAATACGTCTTCCAGGTTGTGTTGATGCGTTCAGAGGTTAGATTTTATTCAATTTGTCAGTGAATTCCGCCACTTTCGGTTGACTTTCATCTAATCGACGTGTCCGTTACCATTTGCTGTCGATATAATTTCCACAATACAACCCCTTGCCACAATAACCATCAGGCCTGTAAATTTTTTACGAAGCCAACAGATCTCTCATGTCGGGTGCATGTTGCCGCTATAAACCAAAATCGGTTAACGCTTGTCCATAACATATCTCCATCTCACGAGACTCACTTGTCCGATATACCGTGATTGTCTAGGGTTTCCACACAATGGCTAGAACCAGAAATGACAGTTTATGACCTTGATATAGTTCTGTGTTATCGACAGTCGGTATCGCAATGAAAGTGACATACTAAAGTGCACAATTGGAGGAATACAACCGTCTAATCTAGTTGGTTAGGGGGCAATTGTGTGCATCTTGGTTGTGACCGCATTTCATTTACACGTGTACAATTTCCAGTTGGCACACCCACAATCTCACGATCCAACTCATTCGGTTGTAGAACCACCTGCAGGCAAATGCATTCAAATGCAAGACCTCCTATCTAACCCCAGTCATTCAGTTTGAATCGGGCAAACGCATCAACGTTCAGAGACCACAGAGTGTGCCTAAGTGATTCCGCATTGGTGCCCTAATGACTGTTTCATATTCATTGGCGCAACGCTCGCGTGCTTAGACTACTTCTGCCAACGTCATTCCTCATTCATACTATCATAAGGAGATCACTCAGGGGTGAATTCATGCGTAAAGGCTATTTGTTATTTTCCCTTATTTTACCAGAGTCCGACATCAATTATTTCCCTAACAGTTGTTAAATAATATCCCTAATGTTCTTCGTTTGATTATATGGTATGATCATTATTTGTCCTCGTTGAATATTTTGGCCACTCCACGATAATCGAATCGAATAATCATTCATCATTTCGACTGATTTGGGGTTTCGATTTCAAGAATTATATTCTGGTCATTACAATTATCTTGTAATCATCATTTTGTAATGAACGAAATCCGTGAAATCAGGAATTAGATGCTGTCATTGTTTTTTTAATGGTCATTTTAGATCGCCCCGATGCCTCCATCATTCATTCATGCTGTCATAAGAAAATCACTCAAGCCTGATCTCATGCGTAAAAGCCATTTGTTATTTTCACTGGATCCGACATAAATTATTGCCTCAACAGTTAATGTTCTTCATTTGATCATATCGCGATTATTATTTTTTACTCGTTGAATATTTTGTGACGCTTTCCAATAGATTCGATCCATAAACTCATAAATTAGATACACTCATTGAAATCGCGCTCATAAAATAAGTTCTCTCATAGTTTCTCTGTTGATCGCTGATGCAGTTGCGAACGAATAAAAATAGAATGCCGAGATTGAACTGACATATATGATGAAGAATATGCATATGAATTGTTCGACGGAGTGAAATCCATTGGCTTTAACTGCTACACCGGGGAATGCAGATAGATTAATGCACAAAAGATTGTACAGGTGTGACCTTGAGAACCCTGAGAGTTGTTCGGATGATATTAGAATATTTATGGGTTTATGATGGCCTCACGGGGTATGCCACCGGCTGTGGGAAATGACTTTATTCGTTCTGATCGGAAAGAGTTTTGTATCAGTCCCGGTGAATTATAAAGCCCCATAAATTGTTTCATCTTTACGTGTCCTCTTCCGTCAAATTTTCAACAGCAATCCCATTCGCTGACTTATTCACGAGAAATGGAATTTCATTCGTTCGTTTTTCCGACATTGTATTGTACCTCTCTCTGGATATTCTCGTTAAGTCCATCAAGAGTGGAGTAAAAAGGATGACCGGAACAAGTGTTCTAGTCAGTTGTAGGACATGGGAGAGGGTTAAAGGTTGGCTTCCTACCGGTCAAATGGACGGATCTCAGAGTTCTTTGAAGTTCAGCAATGGCTTCCTGTTATATCGAACAAGGGTCTTATAGTGATAGGATGTGACAGAATGCGCTTTTGACTATCCACTTAATTAACCCCGTAGTATCAGAAACCGCTGAAATGAGCTGTAAGATAGTACCAACAGTCTGGAAGTAGATGGTCATCTCTGATCTCAAGTCAATACGATTGTCGTTCAAAATTATCGCTTCTAGTGTTCGATCAATCATTCCAGATATTTTTCTTTCCTAAATTATGAGAAATCACGCAATGGGCACTTATGATGTACCTTGATGATACATTTGGAATGAATCTATTGATCCCAAAAATACCTGGAATTGAAACGACAATTTTGGTAGCCCCTCACCTGATCGTGATTGCGTCACGTGATGGGTCATACACATGCCCGAGGCCACAATTACCCTCTCACTGGCTATAATCTCGGGTACTTTGACCCGGTCAGTGTGTTCGTATAACCTCCCTCAGTGCCTATACTTACGTTACGTGTGGCTACGTTCGATAAGACTAAAACCCTTTTCACACTCGACACATTTGCAACCCTCATTGTATGGTACCATTGTTACGAGAATAGTTTCCTGAAATTTCACAATTCTGAATTGAATAATTCGTATGGAATTATGGGCATACATCCTCAAAGATTATAAAATCAATTCCTGAAATATCAGCTCACTTTTTCTGCTTCTACGGGACAAATATCCGTGGAATGAACCGTTGATTGATGAAAAAATTGAATTTAATGGAATCGATCAATCCTCATTGATTCTTAATTTCAACTGATGCAATACCTATGTCTTCTCCAGACATGCCTCGCTAAAAAACCATGAAAAATAAAAGTTTCCTTATTTATCCAGCTACAATCACAATTACCTAAAGATGCTCTACCCAAAAGGGGGAACTACTCAAGTCGAGTTTTGCATACCCGAAGAAAATCGAGAATAATGCCCTTCGGCGACAGACTCCCCTCCACGGTTATAGCCAGTCTGGCTCCCTACGATAAAGTTTCAACCAACCATTCCCTTCATCCTTCTCACAACCATTCGCACACAATGTTACTGCATCCATATTCGTAGCATTCCTATCTCCAGATACAACAGGCACAAGTTGCACTTAAGACTTTAGCGATCGTCAGGAAGTTTACGCTCCAGGTATACGCACACATTTTCACAGCTTGAGCATAACAGGAAAAACAATTTGAGATTTTATAGGTTCTATCTGTCGACCATTCATAGAAAACCGTCTTGTTCTCACCCTGTCTTATAGCTACCTACCGAATTCATCATGCAAGAATGAGGGCTTTCTATTACAACGTTAAGTCTCTCTCGGTGTTTGTTGCAAGTTTCCAAATCCACTCCTCGTGGGATTCCATTCTCTCGGATTTTACTGTTTCAATCTACACATTATGCTCAGTTAAGTTCTCGAGATTCTATTGAATGTACCTCACACCGAGAGTTTCCAAGAGGAAACCGGAAGTTTGAAAAAGCGAATGGAGCTTCAAGAATATTGAGGGTAATTGTCGAGGATTTTTGGTTTGAAACTAATTAACTTCAGAGAACGAAAATCACTGAAATACACAAGTTCAGTGAATTTCCACGTCAGATATCATGGAGATATCAACGCGTAAATTACGTGTCGTCAATCACAATATCGACTGCAGATTTAGAGGTAAACTTTTCACTCAAATCACGAGCTATTAGCTGAGGAAGTAAATCAAGAATTTTGCTCGAGACAAAATCATCTCGATGGAATTCGAAAATGAGAGCATGGGCGACACTTCACGTGACGCTAACATATTCCGGGTGAACATGAAGTGGAGGTGAATTCTGCATAGAGCTGGATATAGAATCTGAAACCCTCTTCAAGTTCAATGCATTGTCTCCGACATGCACTGATGTTACAAATTGCACACCCCCCAGAGCAACAAGTTTATCTCATATCCACTAGCTCATTCTGCATCAAGTGTAATGCATCTGGAATGTATTCATACGGGAGAATCCCTCGTACCAAATATTCGTCGTTTATCCGTCGAATAGAATTTTCCAAATGAAAATTCGTCGAACTAGTTTTGAGAATTAATATTATTTGACTGGAGTCTTCACTCTTCGATGGCGGACATCATAATTTAAAATATCGGAAAGTATCTAGAGGAGTAATTATCATTCCATAATTCACTCCTGAAATAAATGAGCGAATGGATTATTGAAAGAGGCAAATCCTTTTTTTGGATTGCATACGTGAATACCAACAGAATGAGGAGAGAACAATTACTCCGTCTGGATGGGGATGATCATAATTTCCACTGAATGTTCTTCGCAGTTGATGAATTCAATTCAATGTAATTACACCAAAAAGCCAAAAAACCGTGTGCAAAAAACACGAATCCTTCATGAATTGGCCCATGTTTTCCCTCGCTCTGAATGAACACTGAAATGAAGAGAAAAAAAAATGAACAGCATGAGGGGAAAAAAAGTCTTCATCTACAGTTGTCACTGCGAATGGAATCGTGTGGAATGCCAGGAGTTCGAATAGTGTGATGCGATATCGGAATCACCGTGTACCGAGGTTTGAATGTGGCCACAAGTTTTTAGCGCCAACTAGGTAGCGGAAGATCACAAGATAAAAGCGTGATAGGTGGGCATGAAAAAAAGTACGAAATGGTCTCTTGAAGAGAAAAAAAAAGACGCCAAAATAAATGTTGAAAAAACAGGAGTGAACGAATGGAGCTGAGAATGGGGTAAAATGCCAGGTACTTAATTGCATTTGTCACGAGGGTGTAGCCATTGGGTATCTATTGCCCGGAGAATCACGAGGGGTGAGATAACAATTGAGAGAATGAATCGACCACTGGATGGCATGCGGGTACAATGAGATGTTCACCTTCATCTCTCTCGTTGTCGAGACGGAATTATTCATTCCAGATGCTGTAAAATTGTTGACACTCCTGATTGCTTCGGCGAAATATTTGACTTTCTTTTTGTTGATTCATCTTGAAAATCAGGGGAGATGTGCACGAAGGGTGGAATAAAATGTCAGCCCTCGAATTTACGGAGCAAACAATAAACCAAATCCATGGGAATTTTATACAAGTTGACTGTTCAATCAATACCGGATGTCTGCTTTAAACATCGGAATTCTAATCAGCGATGAGAATTTGGGATAGTTAAACAACTCTACAATCATCCAAATGTATTTCAACTTGTGGAATATTCGGAGTCCGTTATCGTTTCGCAATCTCAAACAGAATGTGACTTGAAATTTCCCAAATTATATATCCCCTTATCTGTAACCTTGGTTTTCACTGGCTACTCATAATTTTACGAGAGCCACATTCACCCCTTTTGCAAATACTTGGGCTCGATGCTTTGTCTGAAGTTGTTATATCCACCTCATACTCCTTGATTCAACGTTTTCACCATCTCTACATCCGAAGCTTCCATCCACTTCCTGAATTTTCTCTCTCATTTTCATTTCATCTTAATTATTCAAGGGACGCGAATATAAGGAGAGAGATGAGATCGAGTTTCACTTGCCCCTCGGTATCACTGTCCCACGTGCCCACACAATTTTTTGGTGATAGAGAGCGTGCAGACACGAAATGGAGATTTTCCTTTCACCCTCGTATCTTTCAATGAATAAATTTCATTTTCCCGGGGTTGAATGATTTATGGATTTTTTGCAGTTTAGGGTTGTACCGGTGGCTTTTAACGTTTAGATTAATTCTTAGGGCTTCAACCAAAAAATTGTTGATTAATTCTCAATGGAATTGGAAGAATTTATTATGTTTTTGTTTAACTCATCAGTTGTTTTTTTTTTATTTCAGGTGGACACTCCTGACAGTGTACTACAGAGTGGCCTGGGGCTTGGTTCTGACATGGGACACACCATCCTCAGGTCCATGGTGGATCCCCGGGATTACGACAGACTCAAGTATTTCCAGATGAATGGGGGACAAGCCAACAGCTTCGAGGAAACCATCCACAGGGTACTCTAAAATATATTCACGTATTTCTTACGGCAACCCGACATTTCCCCGGTGAATGAATATTTTCTCAACCTCGCAGAATCCATTGGAAAATGTCTTATCAGCTTATCATTAGCTCTCCATGGTTCAACGATTCTCTTCAATTCACCGCAGCCAGTCACTTCTTTTTTAAAGTTGAATAAAAAAAAAGAAGTGACACAGTCCCTTTTTATCGCACCGCATTATGCCACACTTTTTACGATTACCATAAATTTAACTCGGTGACTTGCTGGGGTTGAGGTACCACACACACGAGAATCGCTTCCTTCATGTCTGTCTCTCAACTTTTTCCGTGAATGTGTCTGCCGAGTGGAATGTAGTAAATTCAGTTTCTGGGGCATTTGCATTTTTGTTAATTCAGGAAAAAATGTCTCTGTGAATGCAGTAAGAGAAAAAAATACCGGTGAATGGAGAAAATGGGGATTCAAGAGGGGAATTCATCTTAAGTAGATGGTATTGACGATTTTCCTTTTCACCTCAATGAATTTTCCCTCAATGGAATCAATATATTTTCCCATGCGAACGTAAATTTATTGCAATCGCCCAACAAGTCAAATTTCATTCCTGTTAATTATCCATTTATCTAAAAACTGATCGATTTATCGGAGAAACATTGAAGAACTTTTTTTGCAGCTGATTAAATTTCCGGCAAAAAAGATCTTTTCAGATTTAGTCAGCAAATCAATAGTTTCGAGATTAATTTACATTTCAATCCGATTCATTTCATTTCATCACTTTTTTATTAACGAAAACTTTGGGATTCGTTTTAATAAAAATTTTTATTTTCAGTTAAAGGTGCAGGATGCCTTGAGGAAAAAAGAGCGCTTCCACAAAGAACACGAAGAAGTGAGTTTAACTGTTTATTGATTTTAATATGCATGAGGAGTCCAGAAATTTAACACCGAAGAATATTTCTCGCCGAGATATTTCCATTCGATCGAAACAAACAATTTTTCAAATCCACCCAACACTTAAATTCCCCATAATCGAACCATAACAATAGGTTACGATATTTACACACCAGAAACACGAGCTGACGTATTCGCACGTATGAATCATGTGATCACATCACGTGTAAAAGCCTCACGCGATGGATTTCCATTCCAAATGGTATTTTCTATTGACGTTTAGTTGGCAATTGCACGCGACACGATTACATTCTCACATTACATAATTCTCGTTCATTACACGATCCTCACGTTTAATTGATCGATCCATCGAGTGGAAGTTAAAAGTCGAGTTGATAACATGATCGGTGAAACGATAAAGCTCATCATACCCAAAAAAATAAAATAAAAATACGGCTTGAGCCAGAAATTAGCATGCGGTAGGAAGAAATTTCATGATTGTCCATGCAATACACTTTGCACAGGGATATGAGTAGCTACGATGCCTCTCTTATTATGTAAAGTAGACCGAGAGATCGAGGGTATGATATTCGTCCTCAAAGCGAATGTAGATGCGTCATGAATTCGTTGCACGAAATTATTATCGTGAATACGTGATTTTTTTCCTCGGTTCGGGGGTGTAGTTCAATTATGGGTTTATTTCGGTGAATGCACAATTGTATTATAGATATATTTTTATCTGATTCTCCACGTTCGGGGAAATGACATCGAGTAAATCAAGTATTTCCATCTGAGTAAGAGATCTTGTGGGGTTTTTCTTTAAAGAAAAGCTGATTATTCATTCTGTTTGTGATTCGGGAAAATTGAAGAATCTAGAGTTATTTTTTGATACTCTAAATTAATAATTTAGTTAATGGGTACCTCACCTCTTTGTCACCGTAACATTTATTATTTCAACACCAAAAAAATCGGTTCCTGTCAAATCTCTCTTTTAACGGCGATCGAAAAGTTGAAACTTGTCACGGTCAAGAATTTTCCGGGAGAAAAATCAACGACAAAACAAGTCCAGAACTGAGATTATCCCGGATCAGCCTAGAAAGCCTCCCACCACCTCCAAAAAACTTCTTATCCACCCTATCCCGAAAACTAAAGCTAAAGACTTTATCAGAGAACTCAGCAAAACGAATTTCCAAAGTTCTTTTTCACTTTTTTCCCCCCATCGATCCTAAGCCTTCATTTTATTTTCCATTGATTGAATAAATTGCCTCTATCGTGCTTAAAAGCACTCCACAAACTTTCGACCTTAAACAATTTCCAAGATAAAGTGAGCAAAAAGAAAAATCCCCTGCAGCGACAGAAATCTCGTATTACCGCAAACAACAAAACGACGTGGCGAAAAAAAAAGAAACGGGAAGAGACTAATAAAATGTCACTGCCTCTTTCGCAAGTTTGTGAGTGGACTCGATGAAATTGGTAGAAACTATCTCATCCAAAACGTGAAAGGGGGGAAAAAAGGGAGCGTACAAATGGGTGAGCAGAATAGGAAAGAAGTTGCCTTTGAGACTGCAAGCAATATGGAAATAAAGGTTGGCATTCCCGTAAAAGTTTTAGTGTCACCTACCAACCGCAGGTTTACGATTCCCTCGAGTACGCTCACTGCTCTTCTCCACCATTTTCCCATACTTCAGGAGTAGACAGAGAAAGGCGAAAAAAAAATGTCGAGGCTCCCTCGTATTTTTCCATTCGCCTCCCAAAGAATTCAGCCACGTCCATTTTTATCCACTGCCATTGGGAGTATCTCCGACAATTCTCATCTCGCATTTACTAGTCATTTCTCTCTCACCTTGAGGGGTTGAACATCTACTTGTAGTATAAGCATTTCGCCTTCGTCCATTACTCAGATACCCCCCGGGCCGATTTCAACTTCGATAATTACTCTGGAAACCTCCGTCGAAATAACTTGTTTCGGGGGGAAAACTATGGGACTAGATGAAAAAAACATTGAGGAAAAACGTGAGGGGTGAGGTGTTATGGCGCACTTGGGAGGAAACTATCGCTTGTGATTACTGGAACTTTTTTTTTACGGGGATAGGCTGTTACTAAAATGAGGGGATTATTCTCGGTCTTATTTGAACGAGATTGGGGGATACGGAGGACATGATTTAAGATTATTCAGGATTTTGGGAAAAATTGGTGCGTGAGGTATTCGTGGTGAAAAAGTATATTCTAATATAATGCGTTTAGCTGAGCCATCACGCATGAATATTGTAAAAAAATATTGACAATTTAGATAATATATAAATCGATTTGATACCGAATATATATAGGTAGGAATTCCCTCCGATATCTCAATTTTCTGTTTCAGATTCTGAGAGACATTCGACAGGGTCTAATGCAGTTGGGAAGAGACGGTCGCGGTCAAAATCCAGGAGGTACGTAAGCAGGCCAATTCTCGGGCATAAAATTCCACCGGGAATATCCAGAAGTAGAAATGTTCCTCTCAACGTTCCTGATGTGTTCCCTCACCTTTCGACTTTTATCCAGACGAATAAAACAGAAAGGGAAGATATTCGAACGACTGGGGACACCGAAGCCCCACATATAGTTCATCTAATCTTGTTATCGTAAACACCCGTCGCGTCCCCAACTTTTTTTTGTGTCTAACCCTCTTTTTTTCCCTCTCAATGGACGTATATGCTGAAAACCCATGTCCATCAAGAACCCCCAGTGTCTATCTTCCATCTGACCGTGAAAATTTTCGAATTGACAGTGATTGAATTTTTATTATTCTTCCTTTCCTTTTTATCGGGCTCTTATTAGATGACACGTATATGTACGACGAGGATGCGAGGTGCGGGGGCTCCAGTGGCCTTGGACCAGGACCCGGTGGACAGCACTGGTATGACGAGCCACCTTACGAATCTGATCCTGAGGATTTTCTCATGGGAGCCAGTGGTGGACCTGTGCCCACAGCTACTATTCAGAATGGAAGGTAAACGTCGAGATATTCAATTGATATGGAATGAAATTACTGAGTCGCTGTGAGAGTCCCTACGACTTTTACGAAAATAATATCACGGAATTAACAGACAAATCCTTCTAATTCTTTCAGGGTGTGCTTCACCCTAAACCTTCGACCAGAGAATCGTGGCGAGGGTGTGATATCCCTTCGGACAGCCGGCGACATAAGTCTCCCTCGTGATCGTTCACGAAAAGCTGCCATGTCGACAATGAGAGGTCTCATTGTCCCTCAGGGACACAACAATCCGCCAACTATCATTCCACTCACGCATTCCAGGGCATCACGCGAGAGTGGTGATTACGCCAGCAGTGACGTACAGGTCAGTCAAATATATCAATTTTATTTCTCATCAATCAACCCCTCTCGTCAATTCTATCGTTCGTTTATTTTACTCGTTGGTTTACTCTTGTGAATGCGCGTGGACGTTAGAATTTCGAAACTCTTACGAATAATTTAGATGATGTTCATTCGATTGTTTAGTAAACGCGTTGATTTTCGATGAGAGTTTGAGCCTGTGGGTGACGATTTTTATCGAACTAGTCAGTGGAGATCCTGGAAGAATAATTTATTTGCGTTAAATTCATGGATTTATTGGAAATTCTATATTTATTGCAGCGAAATTCATTAATTCTCAAAACAATTAATTGAAACCGAATGAATAATTCATTCGTTGTGTTCACTCGTTTTCATTTCAATTTCACAAGGCATTTATTAGAACTCAGTGAAATGTAATATTACCACGTAAAAATGAAGGGCTTCGTGGCTAATTAAAAGCTACATTTTAATGTTTCGAGAAAACTAGCCAAATATTCAAAATTCTGGTATGACCATAACATCAAAATTCAGAATGGCAAAATCGTTTCACGAGATTCTTCTATTAATTGCAGATTATTTTTTTTTCATTGTAAAATTATGAAAGACTTAGGAGAAATTTTATCTGATTTTATACATGAGTTTGTAATTGTGGAGGGATATAATACGTGATTTTTTTCTCCCATTGGATTATTCTCCTCTAAACACAGAGTGAATGGAAAAAAAAAATGAGAAAAACCCCAGGCGAGAATGGCCCTTTGCTCCTTCGTCACACTTTAGCGCGAAGTACGAACGTGAATAACCTATTCATCGACGTGGAACGTTGCCAATTTTCCCTGACTCAGTATGAGTTGGTGAGTTCATCCCCAATGGAAATAGGCGGTAGTGAGAAAAGGAAGGGGTTGAGGGGTGCAAGTACAGTGGACTAGAGAGAGAAAGATTGTGGACCATCTGGAATCCGATGAAAATTTTGCATCTCTCCAGAGTATTCCCTTCATTCCCATTCCCCTTCCGCATTTTACTTCATCCATATCCCACCCATCGTATCGTTTGCGCTGCATCGATATGAGAATTTTAGACCCCCATCCCACCCCAACAGCCGAAGGCTTTCATATACATTCCAATTCATAGTTTAATCAATTTCTAACGACGCACATTTTTTACGGAAAAAGAAGCCGAGGGGGCAGAATGAAAATTCGTATCAAAGAATTTTTTATGAAATTCCAGCCGTTAGTGAGGATTTTATTTGCATCTGTTGGCACTGGGGTTCGAGGGCCAAATTAAATTGCACCAATTTGAAATGATAATTGAGAAAGAGAAAAATTGATGAGTGGAAAATCGTTGGCTCATTTGAATTTATCGGAATTAATTTCATTTAATAGTCCAGAATGTACTCTTTATTACGAGATATTATGAATAATTTATTTGAATTTATCGATCAATTCTTCACCGTCTTCTCGTCGTGCGTATTATTGAAAATTTTCCGGAGACTCAATCAATCGTCAGCTTAAGGCAATTATTAAAACAGTTTGTTGTAACAGATTGTTTACTCCCATCAAATCTTCCCCTTCATGTGGACAATTGTTAATCAGCTGTGAGTTGAAGACAGAAATGACAGAATTAAAAAAAATACTTCAGAATGTGAGCTCGAGACTGTCGACAGTGTCGGTGGACAGGAGCGAGAAGTTAATGATTGGTCAACTTCACCACTGTCCCCAGTACCATCGTCAACGTCACCAATCAACCAACAATTACCAATGCCACTTGTCGTCACCCCGTAGCAATCAACGTCATCCTGTAGCAACTACCTCAGCTAGTATCACAAGTACTGCGGTCAAATCGTCGATATCCATTCCACACCGTAGCAAACACGACTACGTTCGTATTTTGGGTAGAAGTTATTTTAGTAGATAGAGAAACTAATCACACCCTCATATCATTCCACACGTCATCTCGGTTATTTCATTGAAAGCATCTCTCGTTTTGCCATTATCGATCAAATTTATATCCCCAAAATCGATATTTTCGGGAGAATTTCAACCCAAGATGTTGACAAACTCACGTAAACACCCAAATAATGGGAAAAATCCCTCGTTATTTTGCTCAACTCAAACACCCGTTGACGCAATCATTATTTCCACCGAAAACCGATCCGAGATATCGCATCTCCATCGTAAAACAACCGAGAATGCTGATGTATATTTAGTGTTGCACACGATGTACCTTCATGAATATAGATTTTCCGTGAATGGGTCTTTGAGTCTGGGGGATTAAGGGGATGAAGGGTACATGTGTGCCACACGGAAAATGCCTCCGATCATGTTTCCCCGAAGACGTGGGGATTTATCACTTATTTTCAAAGATTGAGCTCACGTGAAACCTCAATTACGTGATCTTTCCGTTATCACCCCAATTCTCAAACGACTCATTTGATTATCCAGGATTAATGAAAAAAAATTATCGGAAAAACTTGCACGCATCTTAATAGCTGTCGAATTTATTACGTTTCCCCTTAATTGTCAAATTCCTACTGTATTAGGACCCCGCAAACTCTCCACCGCTGCTACAGACAGACGCAAATGACGACTGAATAAATAATCAAACTGTATTCTCATGTTCATCAACACTATTCTGCCACAGCCATTAGTTATTCATTAATAATCGCCTCGCTTTCAAACCCTCTTATTAAATCACTATTATTTTTTACTTCTCATTATTCTTCATTAATTTGGATTCAGTGATCAAGTGGTATAACGTAACCACAAAGTATTGGCCCTCAGGGATTTATAATAATCGAATTATTACGACAAAGATGAAAGGAAAATGATCAAACATTTTCTGTGAAGCTGTTGAGACGAGCGTAAAATATTAATCACCATCTGTACATATTTATCACTCGATTACTGAATCATTTCGCCAAGATCTCTATTCTCCAAGTATGAATGGATTTTTAGAGTCGGAGCAGCGGTGAGGAGGGGCTATCACCAAGCCAATCAAGTGATTACGAGGACCAGGAGGAATTAGAGAATCAACACTCGGCAGCAATTCATACAGTACGTTCTATCCATCTCCTTTTCAATCTATGAGTTTCCCTTTTTAAGCTATTGCATTAACCCTGCATTAACAATCTCCAGTAATTGCACTAATTCAATGTCCAAAAAAGCATGAACTATTTCCATTCCCCTGTACAACATACAGACACAAATCCACCGACCAATCGACATTATTGATTAACGATTCTGGAAATGTATTTCGATTGATTGTCTGACGTCGCACAATTACGGGACTGATTTTTTTATATTGTGAAATTGTGATAATTATTTATAGAGGATTGAATGATTATGTATTGCAGTCAGAGGCCAGCGCTCTTCTGGAGGGCGATGCGAGGGCTGGAATAGCTGGAAGAGCAAGAAACTTGAGGCACGATGTACAAAGGAAAATTACGAGGCTCAGACAGGACAGAGCGTCCTCCGAGGCATTTCCATGTAGTGCGAGTAGTGTTGAGAGTCTACCCAGCGGTAGTGGATCGAGTACACAGGCATTGGTAAGAGCTGGTAGCAATCACAGCTCGATATCCTGTGAGGATAGGGATGCGGCTAGTCCTACATCCATTGGACCTGTCCTTTGTCGAGCCAAAGCACTCGTGGATTATACACCGAGCCCCTATGACAAGGATGCCTTGAAATTTAAGGTGAGTCTCATCGGTTCTACTCTAAAAACACCATTAAACTTCAGAGGTATCAATTTCTCATAATTATCCACGTGTGATCTATCTTTATTATCGAAACCAAAGTCTCGATTCCAGTGCGCATCGATTTTTTATTCAACGACCAGCAATTCGAGATGAATTTCGTCGTCATTTTTCACTCATCTACTTTGGAATCTATGAATTAAGCTATTCATTAATTAATCACCTTACGTCGCGCAACAAAAGAAAATACTATTTTCTGTTAATTCATTCTGCTTCAGTTAATTATCTTGAAAGTTATTAGAGCTGCGCGTGGTGTGAACTTATTTATTTGATATTCATTAACGAATGGACGAGTTAGAAGAATAATTTCATTTGATTTTGGTATTCTAGAAGGGCGACGTGATTGATGTAGTACAGATGAATACAAGTGGCCTCTGGAAAGGAGTGGTTCACAGTCGTATTGGCCACTTCAAGTTTATAAATGTTGAGATACTAAACGAACGAGTGCCTCGTCGTGGTGAGCCGGAGAGAGGTAAATGGGGACAAAGATATAGACAAAAACCAGGTTCAGTTCAAGAGCTCTTACAGAGAATGAATCTTCAGGTGAGTTTTTTTTCTCGCTCTTCTATTTCTCTTTTTCCGGTGAGGAGGGGGGGGACAATATCTTGCACCCAACTCTGAACGATTTACATTTGCATCACTCCAAATGCAAAGCAGGATTTACTGTTCCCGTCTTTCCATCGCATTCGTTCTATTTCTTCCTTTCTGTCCACCTTATCTACTGCCTCGGATTATTTTTTTTTTCGTTTCCAATTTTTTCTGTTCCTCTGGCAGTATCTCAAGGTGGCCTCAACACAATTCTCGATTTTTCCCCTTGCTTACAATTCTGGGAGTTTATCCCCTCAAATTTCCATGAATAACATTATTGAGAGCGTAAATAGGGGAGTGAGTACAGACCGCGACAATATTGTCATTAACAAATGGTGAAGCGTTTTGTACGGCAATCAAAATTTATTTTGGTGTTTGATTGCAGGAGCACATACCGGTGTTTGTTCTGAATGGTTATGAAGACCTGGAGCTGTTCAGAGAACTCGAGCCGGCGGATCTTGATTATCTGCGTATTCATCATCCGGAGCACAGGGCCAAGATACTCACGGCCGTGCAATTACTTCATGATCTTCAGTGTAAGTATTGGAAATTTTTAATAACATTTGTTAAATAATCGTTACAAATACGAATATAATAGTATTTGACTATCCCGAAACCGAATCAATTGAATTCTGAATAACCCATTGCATTTTTAACAGCCGGAAGTGAAGGTGATTTGGCCTCGAGTTCCGAAGGCGACGAGATGAACCGTCTCGCCCTGACGGGTCAAACCCCAGGTCACTGTTCACCCTTCAACCGCCGCCAATTTCCCCGTGACTCTGGCTGCTACGACGCGCACAAAAATCCACGACGAACAATAAGCCCAGAAACCGGTAAACTATCACGGGAGAACAATCTCAATTCAGCGGTGCAAAAGAGCAGCGAGGCAACGGTGCACGTCGACGCCAAAGAAGATTATCACCCGAACATTCCAAATTCCAGTGGTGGACTGAAGGAAGGACAATTCGAAAAGTCACCGCAACTCCGTACAGCGACTGGTAACGTAAGATTTATTGCAAAACGGGGTAATTTTGGTGATACTGTGGTTATTGGCGATGATGTTAGTCCTGGTAAATTGGCAATGTCTAAGTATGGAGTTGGTGGTAGTAGTGATCTTGGAATTGGTTGCGAAACAGTTAATGCAACGGCTAGTATTAATCAGCGGGGATGTTTGAGCGAAAAGTCGAGTGATTCTGGTGTTAGTTCGTCAAGTATAAGTTCAGCACCACCACCTAGGGACAAAGTACTTGTAACAGCTGTTGTCGATTCATCAACCAAGACGTTTGGTAATTTTGCCAGGGGCTCACCCACGTCACAAGGGTCGAGTAAACAGAATGATAGTAGTTATCCGTAAATACACCAGTTGATTAATTCTCTCGTATTTGAAATTGAATACAGAAATTGCATATTCTCACTTTCATTTTTCGAGACGTCACGTTGCTCAGATTATTATATTTAGAGATGTCCTCGATTGAGGAAAAATGGATAGAATTCCGACGTTGTGACGTCAAAAGTAAAATTGAATCTGAAGAATAATGTAAATTTCCTATTCACTCACGGTTTTCTCGATTATTTTCACAAAATCCTTTTATTTCATGAAAAATCGAACAGTCGTATAAATTCCATTGCGTTGCGATCGCGACTCTTGAGGATAGAACTGGGTATGAGGATATAATGGAAATAGAAAAGCCATTTGATGGGCAATTTATTTCTCCATGCACTTGAAATATATTCAGGAGAAAAAAAATGACGTCCTTATTTAACTTCAAAGAGATATGGTAAATGTGGAGGATCTTTGTAAAGCTCGTTGGAACGAGTAGAAAGGCCTAGGGTATACCACTGACTCAGTGAGTTATACTTGTGATAGTAGATCGATTTAGGTAGGATCGAAGGATTATTGCAATAAATTAATGAGCAGAAAATATCAAGAGATTTAAAATACCATCGATAGACCATTTGTCGGTCGCTTTATTGTTCTTATGTATGATTATTTAATATTTACCGAACTCGAGACCAATTTGAATCAACTGACGATTCAACAATCACAACTGCCAATAGAAACGCTCAAACTCATTCTTTTATACATTTTTTAATGACAAAAGTCACAACTTATTGATCTAGGAGAATAACATATCTCGTGGTAATTTATTTAAAGAGTTTTTTGATATTGTTTTATCTTTTTTGTACGTTGTATTTGGTGATCGCCAGCTGAACAGCTTGAATTGTATTGAGTACTGACGATCGACAATCTCATGTTATCGTTGTTACTAATTGCAATCAACGATGACGGTGTACATACTGTATATCATCAACAATAGCAATTAATCGTTGAAAGTTGAATGTCAAGAACGGAGAGAAAAATTAGAGGGATCCGTGTAAATATCCAATAACAAGAGGTGTAAATGTTTTTTTTTTCATTGGTTTCAACTCTGCCAAATCTGACTAGATTCTGTCTAATAAATTGACGGAAGACGATGAAACAAAAATGAGGATAATTACGTAGATATGTGGATATATTAATGAATGCAAGTTTGATCTTATGTGTATCTGTATAGTGTAATTTATAACAGCATGTAACGGTTGGACTCTGTAAATAGACGATGTACGAATGAAATTGACTTGGTTGAGTAATCAAAGTCAAGAATTAACGAGTTTCACTTAATCGTTGCATGTTTGCATTTTTCCATCATTATCGAGTTTCGTAGAGGTTAGTTTACACAGATGTAAATGCTTACCAACGACTCAATCAAACGATAAACTAGACCAGTGTCTAGTGACAAAGTCCCAATGAGTGGTCAATGAAATGACGGGTACAGGGGACAAATTGTTTTTTTTTTTTGAATCACAAATTGAAAACAAATATTGATTTATATCTGGATTAAGTTGACTGACAGGCTTCGGTGATGTTGCTACATATAGAATTTATCCGTTCCATCGATCACAGAAAATCGCAGTGTGTAGAGTTAATTAAGGAAGATGAAACTAATTAAGATGTTAATCAGTGACGAGTTTATGAGATTACAATTTAATAATCGAAAGAGAAAGAGAATAGACACAATAGTGATTTTATTAGCTCGACAACGATGATATTGGAAGCGCCCAAGTAGTTCGGTGTGAAATTCATTTTTGTAGCAATTACGATTGGAGAAGAGAAGAAATCATTAAAATACCTATAACCCATCAGAATATCAATCGTTTGAATGACTAATGAATTCTTCCTCAATCAAAGACTTCGCATCGGTTTTTTGAAAAATTCTCTCAGATATGACGAACGATTGGTGTCAAATGAAATTAAATGACGGAACACTCATTTAGATTTTAGCGATCTAGTCCATAATTGCAAATTAAATGAAATTTTTGTAAATAATGAGCAGAGCAAAAATAAAAAAAAATAACGAAACAATAAGAGAAGAATGAAACATTTTTTAGCTGCGCCAGTGTGTGCGTTACTTTTTATATGATCCGATTTATTGATTCATTGCGGGACTAGTTACGGAATCTTAAATAAGAGCGACAATGAGCAGTGAAAAAAAAAATTAAAAATACAAGTCTTAAGTCTTTGTAATGAATTCGATCATTGTTAATTTATTGACTGTGAATAGAAAAATAAAGAATGGAAGAATAAAAATGAAATCACGTTGTCGGAGTATTCAGTTCTCCGTGACTTTTCCCTCTCATTACCAATTTACTCGGCTCCACTAGTTGACTACTAAATCCCTAATTCATGCAAATAGATACCAGCATTTAATGGCATTAAGATAATTGCTCTGTTAATTATTTATACCACTTTCTTGGCGTCATGAAACTTGGGGAAAATCCTTTAACTGTTCGGTGCAAGATAACACACCATTGCTCCCCCATTTTCACCGAGTCAACTGCAATTCTACGTGCTGCCTTGTACTTTCTCTCTCTCTTGTTACATTCTGAGGGGAATGTACCCTACTGATAACGATGTACGACGTTATTTGTTAAGCCTCGAGAGAGGGAAAGTTTGGGGACGAGTGAATATAAAGTCAGGGTGTCAGCCCTCGGTCACTATTGCACTTTACCAACTCTCGCCATTTTGGTTTCGATAATGGAAAATTGATCAGCTGAAATTAATTCGTCTGCATTCGAAAAAATTCCTGTATTTCAATCAAATAAAATTTATCTGACTAAAATAGAATTCGTTATATCTTTAAAATGAAATGATTTTTTTGTTTTAAAGCCATTAGGTAATTTGATATGGTAATAATATAATTTTCCCTCAGAAAACTGGATCTCGTCTCGTATAATTACAACGGCTTGCCTTCAGCTCGTCACAATCTGCCACAAGGCATCTACTGTCTAAATATAATTCCAGCTGGCTCATGTATAAAGGTGCATTTACCGTACGGGTAAATGGTAGAATGGCGGTGGCATGGGATGGTGGGAAAGAGTGACGAGGGGAATAAAATTCGATGCACCGAAAATACCCCTGGGGCAATTACATCGTGACATGGTGGACGCACCTCCTGTACCGAGCTGCTCTCGTCGTTAAGCGTGAAATCTTTAATTGCATCGTTGGTTAATGTTTTAAGGTAGCGGCTAAAAGAGATAGAGAAAGAGAATGTATTCTTGGTTTCTCTCGTTATCCATCTTCTACTTTACTATTACGCAGTAGAGCCGACACCACCTGGGGCAGTTTAACCAGCCCAAGTGTTCCTGTCTGACTCTGGCCTCCTGGGTGGGACTGCCCACTGGATCTCTTAATCTTAATGCACCTGGTTTCATGTGAGGTGAGAGATCCAGTAAATCACTGGAGGTGGAAAAAAAATATAAAAAAAAAACAGAAGAACTTGTCCTTTGCTGAAATTTTCGCCTGAAATACATGATAATTCATTTTTGCAGCTAGGAAGACTTGTCAGCAGAGTCCCAGAGTTCCAAAATTCCAGAATTCCAGAGATGCATTTATTCTCCAGTAATCGGCTGTTCGCCAATCTTCATTGACTTGATTTTCATTGAAGTTATGAAGGGCCAAGGGCACACATCAAAGCGGAATTAATACGAATAAAAAAAATAGCGAAAATATTGGAATAGCTCCTCTACTTTTCTGTGCTCCTCATACAAATTTGGAATAAATACGGATAAAAAAAATAGCGAAAATCATGTAATACCTCCTTTATTTTCCTGTGCTCCTGATACAAATTTGAAATGAATACGAATAAAAAACTTGCGGAAATCATGGAATACCTCTTCTATCTTTTTGTGCTCCTAATACAAATTTGAAATGAATACGAATAAAGAAAAATAGCGAAAACCATGGAATACCTTCTCTATCTTTCTGTGCTCCTGATACAAATTTGAAATGAATACGAATAAAGAAAAATAGCGAAAACCATGGAATACCTCCACTATCTTTCTGTGCTCCTGATACAAATTTGAAATGAATACGAATAAAGAAACATAGCGAAAACCATGGAATACCTCCACTATCTTTCTGTGCTCCTGATACAAATTTGAAATAAATACGAATAAAGAAAAATAGCGAAAACCATGGAATACCTCCACTATCTTTCTGTGCTCCTGATACAAATTTGAAATAAATACGAATCCTGTATAAAAAGAGAGATGGGCCATTAATCGAACATGGCGGATTTCATGGAGATAATCGATTGTAACTATTCTCGATATATCGATCATGGGAATTTTTCATATGGGCATGCGCATAACCAATATCATATGCGCATGCGTATAACAATTGCAGGAGTCGAATTGAACATCCACTATTGGGACA